CTGTCAGAGTGTCCTTGCCTCCCTACCACCACCCGAGGATGGTTGTATAGTGGTCAGTGGTCATCTCACAGCGATGTGAGATGCTTGGAGAACTGAGGAGGTCTGGTTGCCCACAAACACCTGCAAAAGATCTTGTAAGGTAGGGACTATGGAACTGGATGGGTTGCTTACTTCTGTACACTATGTTCCAGGATGTGGATTCGTCTTTAGCTACAGCAGTAGGCTTGCTGCCTTTGTTTTTTAGTTAACTCTTCGGGTCCCATCATCCTTTGCCTGTCTCACCTTCTGAACCTTGCGCTTGGTTGAAGAGGAAGACCTGACACGATAGAGGAGGACTACCCTTCAGTCAAGGGTATATGAGTAGCTGTGCTCCCCTGCTAGAATCTCCAAACAAGCTCTTAAGGTCCATTGAGTCAATTCTGACTCATAGCTACCCCATAGGGTTTCCAAGGCTGGAGGAAAAAAAAAAAGCCAACGGCCTCATCTTTCTCCTGCAGAGCAGCTAATAGGGTCAGACCAACAACCTTCTGGTTAGCAGCTGGATGCCTTTACTTCAGCACCATCAGAACTCCTTATCGGAGAATAAGTAACATAAAGAGCTCAAATGGTGTCTGAACTCATATCTTGACTGAAAATGAAGTTAGGGGTCCAGCTGTAGACTGCAGCCTCCCATAAACCAAGTGTTTTTAGATTTCAGGCTCTAATACAGAATTTTAGAAGTTCTCATCCTTAGAACACTTTTGACACTAGTTGAAGTAGTACCCTATTTGCAAACTGTATATCCAATAAACTTCAATCAATTCTATTAATTCAATAGAAATTCAATCAATTTCTATTATTGGCTTAATATGATTTTTCTTTTAACACTTTAGACAGTGACACTAGGACGGATGTCTGCATGAAGAAATTAATTTGGCAAAGGGGGCAGGAAGGGAGCAAAACCCTTGAGGTAACATATGCCACCCAATGAAATCCAGGCTTTGCTCAGCATGACTAGTTAGTTGTAGCCAGTAAACAAAAGGCTGAGGTGGGAGAACAGAAAGGCACTTTGATTTCTTTGGCCAAAGAAGGGAACAGCCAAGGCTAGTGCCTCCATGACTGCTCCAAGGAAGTCTCCTTCAAGCTTCCCTTACATACATACAGTTTACAAAACAGGAAGTCATACGAATTCATGGGTATACATACTTGTAAATTCTACGCAGGCACAGTTAGGGTTACATACGTCGCAAATTGCATGTGGGAAAAAAAAAAAATTGGGCTAAACTCCATCCAGAGGCGGAGATGTTAATATTCATGAGGCATTTAATGACCCAAAGGTCACCTAGGATACTAAGATGGCTGCCAAACCGGCTCAGGCTGGTTTTGGCTAGCTACGGGAAGCCGGGGTAAAGAAGTAAATAGGATAAAGGGAGGAGGTTAGTTCACTTTGCTGTCCTGTGCATCTTGCAGGCAGGGCCAGTGTGCTCTTTAAAAGGGAGTATGGAGAATATGAAGAACACTAAGAAGTCCAGTGTAGCTGGAGCGAGGGGGATTGTGGTGCAAAATGAGGCTAGGGAGGTGGGCAAGGCCCTGTAAGCTATGTGAGTTTTGGCTTTAGACCAAGAGCTGGGAAGCTACTGCAGCTTCTTAAGTAGTGAAATACATCGTCCTGCTTTTTATACATTTGTTTAATTACCAAAAAATTGAAAACATGATGGTTAAACCTTGTACTGAAACGTACAGCATCATGCAAATGTAAGTTTCTGATTTAGGGTTGTCGCTTGCCGTGTCCAGGCTTTGGCTTTCTAGGGAAAGACAACAGACTTCATCGAGGTCCCAAACCGAGATTTATTTGCAACGGTTCCGGCTGCTCCAGCGAGATTTGCAGTCGTAAGCATTCACGTACACCTAACGCGACGTCAGTGCGTGCGGGGCGGGGTCGGGAGAAGGCAGTGTGCGATTGGCTATTTGTTGTTGTTGTTATTGTTTGCCGCCAGTCGGCCCTGACTCATAGCGACCCCTCCTTGGGTTTCCGAGGCAGTATCACTACGGAAGTAGGATTGCCCAACCTTCCTTCCGAGGAGTGGCTGGTGGGTTTGAACCGCCAGCCTTCTGGTGAGCAGTCAAGTGCCTTAGGCACTATGCTACCAGAGCTCCTTGGCTATTTAGTATCCGTATATTAATTAACGTAACAGGTTGAAATGTCTTTGAAAACTTAAGAGCGCATTGTCGAACTTTAGTACTTAAAAGACGGACGTGGACGAACACGTGATTAAATTTTTGTGAAGAATAATGCCATTTTAAAAAAATACTGGTTAAGACTATACTTTCAGGAATTTCTTTCTGTAACCTTGTTACTGGAGAAGTTTTTCTAATCGCGTTGTTGTTGTTATGTGGTGTGGAGTCCCTCTCCTTGGGTTGCTGAGGCAGTATCACTGCCCAAGTAGATTGCCCAACCTGCCTTCCAAGGAGTGGCTAGGGGGTTTGAACCGCCAGTCTTCTGGTTAGCAGTCAAGTGCCATAGGCGTTGTGCTACCAGAGCTCCCTTCTAATTGCGTAGTACACCTAAAACTATGAGGCAGGTGCGCAGTGTTTTCTTGGTGTGAAGCTGGTTCTTGATGTTGCTTTATGGCAGTTTCCATTTATCTTTGATGAACGTTATTTTTCCTTCTCTTTGAGAGGACGAGGTGTAAGGCCACGGTAAGGAGAAGAAGACACACAAAAGTGAGGTTAAAGAGAAGTTTTTATTCTGCGCTTCCGGACGAGGTTTACGCTCCCTGAGAGGGGCCTGGGCGAGGTTCACGGGTCCCTGAGAGGGGCCAGAGAAGTCGCACTGCCTGGCTGGGGAGGGTAGGGTTTATAGTCTTGTAGAAGACCTAAGTGGAGACACTAAGGAAATGGCGGGGTCCAATTAATTGTTGGAATGGGTCTGCACCTAATTAGCATGAGCAGGCTTCACAGGAGGAATTTTATCATCACATGGGGCTTTCCAGCCTGGGTGGGTTCTGTCACTTCGGTTGTCTTATCAGGCTGTCTCATAGGAGCTCTGGTAGCATAGTGGCTAAAAGCAGTTGACTGCTAACCAGAAGGCTGGCGGTTCAAACCCACCAGCCACTCCTCGGAAGGAAGGTAGGGCAATCCTACTATCCGTAGTGATACTGCCTCGGAAACCCAAGGAGGGATCACTATGAGTCGGGGCCGACTCGACGGCACATAACAACAGCAACAACATGGGGGCCTGACACCTGGAGGAAGCTGCTAACTGAAATGTTGGTGGCTTGAGTTTATTCTGGCCTAACACGAGGGAGAGGACACAGTCTGAGTGGTTTTACTTATTTAAATAGTTATTATTTTTTTTAATGCTTTGTGTATTATGTCCTTTTGTTGTTGTCATGTGCTGGGGAGTCGCAGACTTCCCTTTTTTCGCTAACCCTCCACTTTTCCAAGCATGACATCCTTTTCCAGAAAATAGCCCCTTCTGACAAACATGACCAAAGTAGGTGAGAGGAGTCTGGCCATTCTTGCTTCCAAGGGGCATTTCGGCTGCACTTCTTCCAGGACAGGTTTGTTATTTCTTTTAGCAGTCCATAGTACTTTTCAGCATTCTTCACCAGCACCACAACTCAAAAGCATCAACTCTTCTCCAGTCTTCCCTATTCATTGTCCCACTCTCACATGCATATGAGGTGATTGAAAATACATGGTTTGGGTTTAGTTAGATCTTAGTCTTCAAGGAGATACCTGTGTTCTTCAGCGCTTGAAAGAGCTCTTTTGCAACAGATTTGCCCAATGCAATACATCTTTTGATGTCTTAACTGCCGCTTCCATTGGTATTGATTGTAGAACCAAGTGATATGAAGTCTTTGACAACTTTAATCTTTTCTGCATCTATCGTGACGCTGCTTATAGGTCCAATTGTGGTCCAATTTTTGTCTTCTTTATATTGAGGTCTAATCCATACTGCAGACTGTAGTCTTTAATCTTCATCAGTAAGTGCTCCAAGTCCTCCTCACTTTCAGCAAAGTTGTGTTGTCTGCGTATCACAGGTTGTTAATGAGCCTTCCTCCAATCCTGATGCCACATTCTTCTTCACATAGTCCAGCTTCATGGGTTATTTGCTCAGCATACAGATTGAAAAAGTATGGTGAAAGGATACAACCCTGATGCACTCCCTTCCTGATTTTAAATCATGCAGTAGCCACTTGTTCTGTTCGAAGGAAGCCTCCTGGTCTATGTACAGGCTTCTCATGAGTATAATTAAATGTCCTGGAATTCCCATTCTTCTCAGTGTTATCCACAGTTTGTTATGATTCACACAATCAAATGCCTTTGCATAGTCAATAAAACACAAGTAAACCTCTTTCTGGTATTCTTTGCTCTGAGCCAAGATCCATCTGACATCAGCTTTGATATCCCTCTCTCCATGTGTCAAGAATTGCCGTGAGAATGTCACCACAGGGAACCACTTTCTCAGCTCTTTCAGGCTGAATGTGGGGTTATGCTAGGGTGGCCCCTGACCCATAGGCAGATATTACATCCAGCTTCTCCCATGGTAATTTTAACTGTGTGCAGTTAAAATATAAAGAATGCTGTGGGTTGTTGTGGTACAAAGTTGGACTTTTGGTTAGCTTTTTTTAAATTTCCAATTGTGATTTGGGTTAAAGTTTACAAAGCAAACCAGTGTTAGGTTCTGTTTGTTTTTTTTTTTTTAAAGATTGGAAATTCTATTGTAATTATCCATTACAGTTGGTACCTGATGCTTATTCTATGTATTGCATTACTTGTTAGGCAGTTTTTCAGTATTCTGTGAGGGGCTGTATTCTGATAATACCTTTCCAAACTGAGCACACTGTTTTGTTCAACTTTTTAAAGTTTTTGAAAGGGTGGTGCAAACTTCCTTATTTAAAAATAAGTTTGAAGCATTAATACCATGAAAGTTCATATAAATTTTAAAAATTTCCCCTAACTTCATCCCAAGAAAAGTTCTGGTATTTGCATTGACTCTGGTATTTACTTTACAGGAATCTGTGTTGATGCAGTTAACTCCCTGAGCCAGACAGCACTTTACATTGCTGCATTGTTAGGTCTTCCGAAATTAGTTGATATTCTGGTGGATTACGGATCAGACCCAAATCAGTAAGTACGTTATATAACATCAGTATCTAGAAAATAACGAGGGTGCATTTAATTTAGTTGACATATTAAGAAATTAATTTTGACAAAATACTAAAAGAAAGTTTTGCTAATTTATATCAGTGAAATAGTCCAAATTTTGAAATATTTATATGAAATGTTAGTCTTCACTTTGAAATAAAATTTTAACTGCTAATAAAAGTTTTCTCATCTGTTTTACTGGGCCCTCTGGTAGCGTAGTGCCTAAGGCACTTGACTGCTAACCAGAAGGCTGGTGGTTCAAACCTACCAGCCACTCCTTGGAAGGAAGGTTGGGCAATCTACTTCCGTAGTGATACTGCCTTGGAAACCCAAGGCAGGGTCACTATGAGTTGGGTCCGACTCGACGGCACATAACAACAACAATAACTACCTCCTCCTGTTTGTATTTCTCTTTCAATTAAAGAGAGAAAGCTTCCCAGGTGATTCCAATGTGCAACCAGTTTTGGAAGCCACTGATCCGTATCATATTTTCACTGTATCTAGATGATAAAGATCATCATTCCTTCATGCCTCGGAAATACTTTGTCAGCTTTGGTTAAATGTTTCGAAGTTCTAGTTCTTTGATTCAGGTCATTTGATCAGGCCAAAGTTTAGTGGACCTCCACCATAGGATCTGGGAGACAGAGACATTCTTACAGGAGAGAGAGGCCCTTGTTTAGGCTGTGCCTGACAAGCTGACCCCAGGACACTGCAGGCATGAAGACATCATCTCAGTGCAGCTAGTGTTAGGTGGTGGGGGAAGAAGCTGGACATGGAGCCAGACTCATACCTGGGTATGAATTTATTTTGCCTTCTGTCTCCTTATGATACTGCATTGAAGGATTGAGGTCAGGAAGAAAAGAGCACAGACCAGGAGCCTGACGAATAGTATTATAATCCTCATCACAAAAGGGTACCTTTAGAGGGTAAGGGAGCTCTGTGTTGCCCACTGAGCCCCCTTGGTGGAAGCCAGGAGGGAGTGTTACATTGACGCTCACTGTTTCCCTGCAGCCGTTGCTCTGATGGGAGCACCCCTGTCCACGCAGCAGCATTTTCAGGCAATCAGTGGATCCTCAGTAAACTGCTGGAGGCAGGAGGTGACTTGAGACTCCACGACAAGAAGGGTCAAAGCCCTCAGGCCTGGGCACTGACAGCAGGGAAGGAGCGCAGCGCTGCGGTAAGGAGGCTGCTCTACAGCCAAAGAACGGGCCTGAGACAGGAGCTCGAGGACAGGCACTGGCCTTAGGCCAGCACAGGGCTTTTGGAGGCCTTGATATTAGACACACACTAATGGTGGAAGCCAGTTAACTAGCTGTAAATCCTCAGGCAAGTCTAGCGGGCGTTCAGATCATCTGTTCAGTATGGAGGGAGAACAACTGTAATTTTATCTGACCCTTAACTAGCACTTAGAATGCATCAGGCATTCTAAATGCTCTTTATATATTAACTCATTTAATTCTCCCAACAACCCTCTCAGGTAGGTGCTACTTCATGGATAGGGAAACTGAGGCCCAGAAACATTAAGTAAATTTCCTGAGGCCACATACCAGCAGGTGTGACATGTTATGAGGAGTCAGTAACATAACAAATGTAAAGGGCAAAGGGTTGGCACAGGACTGGGCACAAGCGAGGGGTGAGGGCAGAGTCCCCTTTGCTTCCCTACCTCTGGTTCTCCTCCTCATTAGCTGTTGGACAAGTCACTTTACCCTTCCCAGCCTCAAAGTCCTCATCTATAGAAGGATAGAGTTGGAGGAAATGGTTGCCAAATCCTTTCCCCAAAATCATTTTATACCTTTAGAAAATCACCTGGGTCCTTCCCTTTCCAGAGATTTCCTTGCAGGGTCCCAACTCCTCAGACCATTCTGCTCCTCCATTGCCATTGAAGGCTGGGGTGCCAGGCCCCGTAGCCAGAAAGGAGCATCTCTGTGGTGTGTTGCAGATGGTGGAGTTCATACAGCGCTGTGCCTCGCACATGAAGGCCTTCATCCAGGGCTTCTCCTATGACTTTCTGAGGAAGATAGACTCCCCTCAGCAGCTCGTCAGCAGCCCATCCCGGTTTGGGGGCCTCATGCGAGGGTGAGTGCTACCTTCCAGTGGAGTGGGGTCTCTGCACCCCCCAACCTTTCTTGTGGGCCCTATCCAGTATCTGGCCAATAGCGATGTGGCCACAAGTAAAGGACGGCCAGCAAAGCACCCTTTGTCATCACCCCACCAGCCCCCAGGAAGGTCTGGTGTAATGCAGGGGGCATCACCCCAAAGTTAGCAGAGGTAGAGCCTGACGGTTGGCTGGCTTTTTTTTTGTCATTTCCCACAAAAACTTGTAAACAAGTAGCAAAGAGCCACAGCCAGAGGGTGCAGGAGCAGTTTTTGTTTGACTGAGTGCCAGTTCCACATTCAAACTGTGAACCATGGGAAGAGTGTTCCTTTCTTACTATGGCTGCAAAATGTTCAATTACCAGTTCCTCAGGCTCTTTTAAACTGGTGTAAGAGACTCCCTACTAGCCCCCCCCCCCCCCTGAGCCGATCCCAGCTATACGCAGTAGCTCCCAACTTTTCTCCATGCTCAGGGAGAAACTTGACCAGAGCTGAGTTACTGTAAGTAACTGCAGCTATCAGCATGAACTGTGGGATCCTGCATCTAGTCTTGGAGGCCCTGCTTACACCAGCCCAGCCCACCTTGCCCCCTCATCTCCTGCCCCTGTGCCCTGCTCACTACACTCAAGGTTTGGAGAAACTTGTCATAGTCTGAAGGAGCTCTGGTGGCATAGCAGTTAAAGAATTCAGCTGCTAACCAAAAGTCAGTGGTTTGAACCCACCTGCCACTCAGCAGGAGAAAGATGCAGTCTATTTCCATAAAGATTTGCAACCTTGGAAACCCTATGGGGCCATCTACTCTGTCCTGTAGGGTCTTTACGAGTCAGAATCCATACCAGGGCAGTGGGCTTAGTTTGTTTTGATTTTGTTACAGTTTGTAGTTATTTATTTGTGTACATTCTTTTTGTCTGTTTCCCCAGCTAGACTGTGAACTCCGAGAAGGCAAGGACTGCATCGGTCAGTTCTTCATCTCCCACCCTCAGCTGCCTGGTGGGTGGTAGGAACTCACTAGCCAGAGAGGCCAGCCAGGAAGGAAAACCAAAATCCAAATGTTGAGGAACTTTTACAATTTTAGTTACTCATTTAGTGTGATATCTGTTTTATAACTAGATGAAACGTTATTTTTATAAGGGTTTAGACCACATAATGTTTAAAGAAAGAAAGGATGGAAATACCCCTGGAAATAAGAATTGGCCTCTGGGATCTGTGAGTGCCAGATAAGATTCTTCACAGTTGTGCGTTTACACAGAAGTTGGTTGAAGAAAAGCATGAAATTCAGAGAACAGATGGTCATCTGGTTGTAGATTAGAACTAGAGTCCATCTTTTCCTCTCTTCTGCCCAGATGTGGGTATGGACTGGGAAATGCGGGGAAGACAGCACAAAATGTTGGTCTGAGCTGCGTTGCACTCAGGTCACTGTTGGGGCACATTGCTTAAACAGAACCTCTATCTCCGAGGGCCACACACACACTGCTGAGGGGCCCCCACATGGGAAGTGGAGAGGCAGCCTTGTCAGTGTCAGTCCCTGTTCCGCTGCTGTTGAGGGTCCCACCCCACTCCCAGCTCAATGTCTGTGCCTCTAGGCAGGAAACCATTCCGCATCTCCTACCTCCTTGAAGCTTGAATATGTAGACCTTGTTTCTAGAAAGTATGGAGGATTTGGTTTAAGAAAGGAGCCTTCCAATTTTCTTTGTTGGTTACCAGGGGTGGGAGGGGAGGGAAGGGAACGCTGTTAGATAGATAGAGATAAGTATTGATTTGGGTGAAGAGAGGGGCAATGTATCAAATGTGAGTGACCAATATGGCGGCATTGAGGATGAGAAAGACATAGAGAGGTACCTGGGAGGTACAGACAACAAAGATGAACCCTTTTGCCCATACAGTACTGCATTGTCAGTGAAGACAAACATGGGTATATAGGTGGATAGATGGGTGGACAGGCTGAACTCTTAGGTATATCTTATGAAATGGGGAGTGTATCCAAGAACATGTACAGGGTTGGCAGACAATGGTCCTATAATTTTATGTGAATGATCCGAATCCCCAGGTGTATAGTAGAGCTGACAAGGGGCAAGGGTGTGGTAGCTGCTTGGTCACAGCCAGCTACCCAGAGGGACCGAGTAGTTGAACCTGCGGGCTTGGGACCATAGTCACAAGGGACATCAAGCTCAATTGGCATAATATACTATATAAAACATTGTTCCACCTCCTACTTTGGCAAGTAGCGACTGGGATCTTAAAAGCTAACAAGCTGCCATCTAGATGCAACAATGGGTCTCTCCTCATCCAGAGCAAAGAAGAATGAAGAAAACCAAAATTCATGGAAACAATTAGTCCTAGCGAGTGGTACACCATCTGATCTGCAGCCTATACAACTATGAGACCAGAAGAAATAGACGGTGCTCGGCTACTACTGTCAACCACTTGGAAGGGGATCTATGTAGGAGATCCTTGATAGAGAGGGAGAACAATGTGGAACAAAAGTCAAAATCATTTGGAGAAAAAAAAGTGGGGGGGGACCAGGTTTGCTGATCCGATAGAGCCTGGTGGAACCGCTGAGACTATGGCCCCTAGCTGCTCTTCAGGTCTGGAACTGAACCCACACCTGTGGTTTCCAGCCAAACAAAAGACAGGTATATGAGTTGAACGTTTACCTCAAGTAGATACACTCCTTGAAGAGAACAATCATGGGAGAAAGAAGGGCTACTTATGCACAGGGAGACAGCTCAGGGGGCAGGAGTGCATGAAGAGATGGACACAGGGAAGAGGTAACTATGGGGAGGAAGTGGGAGGGGAGCTTTTGCGTTGTGGTAAACTGTGGTCAATGTCATGAGACAAAGTGTATGTGAACTGCTGTATGGAAAGTGAATTTGCTCTATAAATCTTCACCCAAATCACAATTTAAAAAGAAAAAAAAGGAGCCTTCCTCTTACAGTCTGTCCGCTCAGCTCAGGGTGACTTAGCCTGTACACTGGGCAGTACTGAGAATAAAGGGGATGGTGTCAGTAATGATGATGGACAGCAGGTGTAAACGAGGATGTGTGGTCCCCTACCTCAAAGCAACCTCAGTCAAAACTGTGGAACCTTCACTTAAACAGCATGGCGCTGACAACTGGGCAGTGACAGCCAGGTATCAGTGAGTTGCCAAGGAGACAGACCTTACAAAAGCAGAGGCAAAGCATTCACGTCTGTTCAGGAACACCGGGAACATGGGCCTCATAGGCCTGTGTAGGGTGGGGCTGGGATGTGCTACCCTGAAGTTCCTTCACCAGTTCCCAAGGAAGGGAAAGTGGCTTCACGAGCAGCAGAATGTTTTTTTGCTTCAATCTGGGCTGAAACTACTCACTCAGCAAGCACTGAGCACCTCCTACATGTATGACACCATGCTAGGCACTGGGAGCCAAAGAAAACAAAAACCCTTACACAACTGGACCAGTAAGCAACATCATGATAAATGGAAAGATTGAAGCTGTCCAGATTACTTGGATCCACAATCAACGCCCATAGGAGCAGTAAAGAAATCAGACAGCGTATTGCACTGGGCAAATCTGCTGCAAAAGACCTCTTTAAAGTGTTACAGAGCAAAGATGTCACTTAGAAGACTAAGTTGCACCTGATCCAAGCCATGGGATTTTCAGTAGACTCATATGCATGTAAAAGCTGGACAGTGAATAAAGAAGACTAAAGAATTGATGCCTTTGAATTGTGGTGTTGGTGAAGAATACTGAAAATACCATGAACTACCAGAACAATGAACAAATCTGTCTTGGAAGAAGTGAGTGAGAATGCTCCTTAGAAGCGAGAATGGCCAGACTTCATCTCACGTACTTTGGTCACGTCGGAAGGAACCAGTCCCTGAAGTAGGATATCATGCCTGGCAAAGTAGAGGGTCAACAAAGGGGAAGACCCTCAATGAAATGGATTCACACAGTGCCAGGGATGATGGGCTCAAGCATAGCAAAAATTGTGAGGCTGGCGTAGGACCAGGAAGTGTTTCATTCTGTTGTACATAGGGGCACTATGAGTTAGAGCCAATTCAGTGGCACCTGACAATGGTAATAGTTTTCAGAAATAGAGGCTAGGTCTTTCTTGCTAGTCTGTCTTAGTCTGGAAGCTTCACTGAAAACTCGTTTAACAGGATGACACTATTGGTATTTGAAATGCTGGCAGCATAGCTTCCAGCATCACATCAACACCTAAGCCATCACAGTACAACAAACTGAGAGATGGGGGGTGGATCCCATCTATATATACCGAAAACAAAAAATAAAAAACATCAAACTCACTGCCATTGAGTTGATTGCTGCTCATAGTAATCCCCTCTGGGTTTCCAAGGTGGTAAATCTTTACAAAAGTACATTGCCCCATTTTCCTTCTGCAGAGCCGCTGGTGAGTTTGAACTGCTAACCCTCTGGTTAGCAGTCAAATGCCTTAGGCACTGTGCCACAAGAGCTCCTTATCTAAATGTAGTTCATGATAAAAAGTCAAGTAGTAAAGACAAAACTAATTACACATTCTGAAAACTTGGTTTATCATTGTTCCTCTGGATACAAGTGTTAAGTTAATCCTTACCTCCCCTCCCCCTTTAAAATATTTCTAGAAACCCTACTGGCTCTCCTAACCGACTGCTTAAAGCCGGAATCATTTCTGCCCGAAATATCTACAGCTTTGGCTTTGGGAAGGTAAGAGGTTGTCACTGATGGCTAGTGTTCCAGGACCGATGGCAGGATCAACCTGGACCTGGCCATCCCCACGTTTGTCCAACTTTTCCCTCTGTACTCTCACCAAAATGGAATTTTTTTTTTTGCCCCTTGTGAAGAAAAGTATCCCTAGTGTTCTGTCCTTACTGAAAAAAATGGAGAAAATCCTGGAGGAATCCCTTGACTGACCTGGGCTTGATTTGGGAGGTTTAGAAAATGATCCTTTAATTCTCAGTGAAGGCCCCAGATATACTTTTCGCTGAGAGAGAGGCAGAGGGCTGCATTGACCTCAGGGGTCCACTCCGTAACTGACCTTGCCCTCCCACAGGTTTCTGAGTATTGTTGAAATACCTTTAAGGAGAATTGTTTTGAGGTCAAATGATGTCTTGTGGACCCTTCGTTCTGCCCATCCCAGAAAGAGGCAGTTAGCTGGGTGGTGGGTGACGTTTGCTGACAACTCAGCCTCCATTCCTGAGTCTCTGTTGGTTGTGCAGAGGCAGCTGGGGCAATAGGAGGGGGGTAGTATAGCGGAAATGTGGGCTCTGGTTGCGCACAAGCCCCTCAGTTCCAGCCATGGCACCTGAGGCAGGCATCGGACGTATTCTAGGAGCCTTAGTTGCCTCATTAGTAAAAGAGAAGGAATATCACAATCTTGTGGGGCTTCTTGGAAGATTAAAGATCATGTAAATCAAAGAATAATGTCTAGTGCAAATAGCAGCTCTCATTATTTTTCGCCGGCTGAGAAGATTCCAAAGAGATGTTACATATCCTCTTCTCTCCCCACAATTTGATGCTGTGCTTTGGTCGCAGTTTTTTCTCATAGGAGGGAAGCAGCTGGCCTATCCGCTATCTCTTCCCGTAATTGGAGAAAAGGAAGTGATCCAGGCTGATGATGAGCCCTCTGTCTCCTTCTGCAGTGGCCCCTACATGGTCATGACCAAGTAAGCAGAGCTGGCCAGTTAAGGCCTGATCTGGTCACGTGGAAAGAGGGGCTGCTGTGACGTCCTTAGGTGTGGAGGGTTTCTCCCCAAATACAAGGAAACACTTAAAAACATAATCTAGATCGGAGTTTCTCAGTCTCAACACTTTTGACATCTTGGGCTGTATAATTTTGTTGTGGGGGGTTACCCTGTGCCTTGTAAGATGGTTAGCAGCATCCTTGGCCTCTGCCCACTAGATGCCAGTAGCAACCCTCACTTCCCAGTTGTGACAACCAAAACTGTCTCCACACATTGCCAAGTGTTTTCTGGGGGGCAAAATCACCCCCACCTAAGAACTACTTTTCTGAGAGTACCCATTACTGTATCTTCACCCCTCTGCTTTTTTGTAGAATTAGAGGCAGCTTAATGTGTTGACGCTAATACAGGTATTAAGTCCCTTGTAGCAGTCAAAACAGCCATCAGATACACCTCTCACCAGTAAACCGAGCAGAGGTGGGCAATGGTAGCACTTGGCTGTGACAGAACTCCCTGGCGTGTTCTCAGTTCCCAGAGGCTGGCCCCTATGGGGTCATGGGAATTGTCTTGGCCAAGGTCTCTCAGCTTCATTTAACCTCATTCTTTTTCCCTGCTTGGAGGCAACATCCTAAAGTTTTAGCCAAGAAAAGGCCTTTGCCAGACTCATGAGCCTTCTACCCCCTGCACATACATTCTTTGGTTTCCTGCCCATGCCTGTCTCTGCACCCAGGTTCTCACCATCCCTCACCCAGACTGGCTTCACTTTCTGGGCTACCCCATCCTACCCATTCACCATCCTAGTGGTACAATTGTCTTTCTAAAATTCAAACCTCATCAAGCCACTCCCCTTCAGTGGCTTTCTGTCACCTGCACCTTAAGTTCCCAAGGGGTTCTTTAGTACCCCGGGGAAGGGAGGACTCAGCGATGCCCAAGCAGATTCACAAATTCTGCTGAAAATCACTGCCCTTCTTCTCCCCACCCCTGTAGCCTGGTGTGGAACGGAAGCTGTGTCACGGTGAAGGAGCTGAATCTCCCCACCCACCGGCACTGCAGCAGGCTGCAACTGGCTGACCTGCTCATTGCCGAGCTGGAGCACAGCAGGTGAGAAGGAGGGAGGCGCAGGAAGCCCAGGCGCAGGGCTGCAGCCCAGAGGCAGAGCACCAGCCTCCCTCAGTCTCACATTTTCTGGTTACTGTGATTAGGTGATTTGCCTTCCAAGGGTCACCAAGAAAGAGAAGGAGGAATTAACAAAATGTCCAAGGAAAGGGGGTGGTTCTGGTGAGGGGCTCAGTGCTATCAGCTGATTAACTTCCCATAACCTCTGGCCCATTCTGGCTCTGGCCCCTGAGGGCTGCCCCATTCTTTGCCCCTGGCCATTCTAGGGCAGCAGGTGGTTGCCCTGTTTGCACAGAGCAAGGCTGTGTGCGATGGCCATGTCTCAGGAATCCACTGCGGCAGACACACCCATGGGCCTCAGTACATTAGATTTCCTGTGACTACAAGGTTAGGTCCTTCAGCTCTTGCTAGGCCAGGATCTCAATTCATGGTTTCACACCAGTGCCTCCGAGGCCTTGGAATGGGCCCAGGTGCTATGTCTAGAGAGGCTGAATCCTTCCTTTTGGGGAAATCAGCCTAACCATAACCCAAGGAAGCTGGATGATGGTGTATAAACTGTGTGGCTTTGATATGAGACTAAATGGGGTGGAGACTTTGGGCAAGTTCTTGCTGTGTTCCCTGACCTCATCTCTAAAAGAAATAATGATGTGTTTTTTGCAGGTAATTGTTAGGATCTGAGATGATGTATGCAAAGTTTCTTACTTAGTAGCTCTTAGTGGTATTGTCCTTGTAGTCCTAAATGACTCTTAAGTCCTCGGGGTCTGATCAGTGAGAAATCCTCCTACCTCCCACTCTTCATCCTCCATCTTTTTATCCTGCCCTGCTTCCCCCTGCCCATCTGAAGCTTCTTCTCTCTTGCAGCAAGTTGTGCCACCCCCACATGCTGCAGCTGATGGCCGTGTGCCTGTCCCAGGACCTGGAGACGACCCGCCTCGTATACGAACGCGTCACAGTTGGCACGCTCTTCAGTGTCCTCCATGAACGTGTAAGTGGCTACCTTCAGAATTTTCCCCTTTTTGCCCTTCCCACTTACCCCCTTCAACTGTAGAGTTCCCATTTGTGCATTTCTGAAGAGAAATCTCTTCTTTACTTGTTTGGGGGTACCTTTTTTTTTAATTTTTATTGTAATTTGGGTGAAATTTTACAGAGCAAATTCATTTTCCATACAGCAGTTCATACACATTTTGTTTCATGACATTGACTGCAGTTCCCCACAGTGTAACAGCTTTTTTTTTTCTTCCTACTTCTTCCCCGCAGTTATCTCTTCCCTACACCCTTTCTTCCAAGCACTCCTGCCCCTGAACTGTCTCCCTTTGTAAACACTGCTCTTCTGTTCTCCCGTGATTGATCACTCCAAGGAGTGTCTCTACCTGATGTAAATGTTCACGCTGTGTACCTATGTGTTGTTTGGCTGGAAGCCACAGTAGTGAGTTCAGTTCCAGACCTGAAGGGTGACTAGGGGCCATAGTCTCAGGGTTCTTACCAGGCACTATCAGAACAGTGAACCTGGTCTTTTTTTTTTTTTTTTATGATTTTGAGTTTTGTCCCACAGTGTTTTCTCACTCTGTCTAGGATCTCCTGCACTAATCCCCTTCTGAGTGGTTGACAGTGTGGTAACTGGGCACCATCTAGTTCTTCTGGTCTCATGGTTATATAGGCTGAGGATTACGTCTACTAATCCCTTGGACTAATTGTTTTTCCATGCATCTTTGGTTTTCTTCATTCTTTGCTCTGGATGAGGAGAGACCCATTGTTGAATCTAGATGGCTGCTTGCTTGCAAGCTTTTAAGACTTGGAGGCACCATTTAAGGCTGACAAGCACATGGTCAGAACTAGCATGATTTTATTATTGTCAGTCCAGCTTCTTTATCAGACATTTAAGAGCTCAACAAACCCAGGAAACACAGACCTATTTTTAACTAACTGTAATGGAATAGTTACCAGAGGAGCTCTGGTAGCATAGTGGCTAAAGCACTTGACTGATAACCAGAAGGCTTGTGGTTCAAACCCACCAGCCACTCCTCGGAAGGAAGGTTGGGCAATCCTACTTCCGTAGTGATACTGCCTCGGAAACCCAAGGAGGGTTCCCTATGAGTCGGGGCCGACTCAATGGCATATAACAACAACAACAACAATGGAACAGCCAGTGGCTGGATTGGGTTATTGCTGTGTGTGTGGTGGGGTAGGCCCAGCTTCCCCACTAGTTTGCCCCAAGCTGACCCAGGGTGCTCACACTAGGCTTAGAGAACTCTCATCTCATTTTCACCTCCCTGTGAAGCAACTTAGCCAAGGGAATGGAGCCCAGGTTTGGAGGCCCTGGATTCTGGTCCAGTGGCCCTTTGGCCTGTCACTTAACCCCACTGAGCTTTAGGTTCCCCATCTGTAAAATGGGGTTATGAGGTAACTGTGATGATCAAATGAAATGACTTTGGAAATTACAAAGTATTCTACAGTGTCAGATGCCTGGTCCCTTTTGTTCCTGGCCTTTTCTCGCTTGCAGCGGTCCCAGTTCCCTGTGCTGCACATGGAGCTGATTGTGCACCTGCTGCTCCAGATCTGTGAGGGCCTGAAATACCTGCACAGCCGTGGTTTTGTCCACTGTTCCCTCAGCTCCTATGCTGTCCACATCGTCTCCATGGGGAAAGCGAAGCTGACCAACCTGGAGTACATGATAGAAAGGTGAGTGCAGCCTTTATCCTGACTTTCAAAGAGGGTCTCCCTGGAAGTCAAAGTCCTCCTGAGAGTTGGGTGTTAATCCCCCATTTCCTGCCTTCGGTTCTCTGGGCAATGGAGGGTGGATCCCCACTGCACATCCTCACCCTCGGGAGCAGGAAGTTAAAAGGGTTTGGATTCTTTTGTGTGTGTGTGTGCTGTTTGTAATCAAACACCAAGGGCTTTTCGATTTCTGGAAGACTGGGACAGACACCACGGTGTCAGTGATGGAGTGCCATCTGTGGTTAAGATGGTGGTTTAACAGTTTCTTCTGCTTTTGCTTGTCGATAGAAATGTGACTCCTAGAAGGAAGTGGAAGTTTCCAGCCCAACCCTGTCCTTTTATAGACGAGGAAACTGAGGCCCAGGGAGGTGGAGAGAGATTCTGAAGTCACAGAGCCGGTTGACCTGATGTTATACGATACCCATTTGCTACAGCAGCAAGATGGATTGGAGGTTGAGGGCAGGAGGACCAGCTAGGAGGCCACAGGGTGGGACCTGGTGGTTACTAGGGAACTGAAATGGAAGGGGAAGGTATGAGATGCACCAGGCATCTTGGGTCAACAGACTGGTGAAGGGGTCAAGTGAAAGGGTCCCCAAGTGCTACCAAAGAGGTCCAGAGGGGCTGAGTATGGTGGGAAGGTATGCGTTTTCATTTGGGACCTCAGAATGGAGCCTCAGGTGGAAACGTCAGCAAACAGCTGCAGCCATAACACTGTACCTTCATTGAAAGCTGATAATACAAGCTGATTATCCAAGAATTCAAAATGGCTTTCAATTCCACATTTTTTAAAAATAATATTTTATTGTGTTTTAGATGAAAGTTTACACAGCAAATTAGGTTCCCTTTTAACAATTTTTATACAGGTTGTTCTGTGCCACTGGTGACAGTTTTTACAATGTGTCAGCATTTTCATTATTTCCATTCTGTTTGCTCTGTTTCCATTGATCTAGCTTTCTTTCCCCTCCTTGCCTTCTCATCTTTGTTTTTGGGTACTGTTGACCATTTGTCTCATTGTTTGAGGGAGCACATTACTCACAGGTGCTATTGTTTATTTTATAAACTAATCTGTTATTTGGCTGAAAGGTAATCTGCAGAAATAGCTTCAATTCCAAGTTCAAAGGCTGTCTTAAGGCTACAGTCTTAAGGGTTCTTCTGGTCTTTCTTGGTCCGGTAGGTCTGGTCTTTTTTAAGAATTCGAGGTTTTTTCTACATTTTTCTCTCATGCTATCCAGGACTTTCTATTATGTCCCTGGTCAGAATGGTCAGTAGTGGTAGCTGGGCACCATCTAGTTCTTCTGGTCTCAGTTCTGAAGAGGTTGTGGTTTGTGTGGGCTGTTAGTCCTGTGGACTGGTTTCTACATTGAGCCTTTGATTTTCTTCTTTCTCTTTTGTCCCATATTGGTAGAGATCAATAGTTGCATTTTGGATGGCCACTCACAAGCTTTTAAGATCCCAGACACTACTCATGAAGTTCAGATATAGAACATTGTCTTTGTGAACTATGTTATGCCAGTTGACTAAGTTGTCCTCCGAGATTATGGTCCTAAGTCTTTTGACCCAGTAAACCAATCCCATGTGTTATTTAGATATTGTCTAAGACACTTGACTACTAATCAAAAGGCTGGCAGTTCAAACCCACCAGCCACTCCTCGGAAGGAAGGCTGGGCAATCTACTTCTGTAGTGATACTGCCTCAGAAACCCAAGGAGGGGTTGCTACGAGTCGGGTCCCACTCGACGGCATATAACAACAAGAGGTTGCCTTCTTAAGGAGCCCTCGTGGCATAGTGCCTAAGGCATTTGACTGCTAACCAGAAGGCTGGCAGTTCAAACCCATCAGCCACTCCTTGGAAGGAAGGTTGGGCAGTCTACTTCCACAGTGATACCGTCTCAGAAACCCATGGAGGGGTCGCTGTGAGTCAGATCCAACTTGACGGCAGTGAGTTTAGGAAGACTTCTTAACTCTTCCCCCACGTGGTTTGTTACATATGTGGATATATATACAGCCCACACATACATATACCTACAGATACACCTATACATGCACATGCATTTACTTGCATATGCTTCTTATCCATATTTATTTTTGGTATCTCTCTAGTTGGGCGGGTTGGTTTTGTTCAATGGCAATGTCAAGGGTAGTGCTCCATCTCTTGATGTAAAAGAGATACAACAGTTTCTCTTACTCTTCAACTCCTTAATGGAATCTTTAGAGTTGGAATTGAACTTGGAGTTGGTGTCACATAGCTGCATCCAATGTAATTTTAGTGATGTCAAAGCTGAAGCCTAGAAAAGTCTCAGCCCTAGAGTGACAGCCAGAAAGGAAGGATCCCCTGCCATAAGCTAGATTTAACAGAGAAAGAAGGAGGGATTGTGAAAAAGGAAAGTGAGAGGTAGTGAAAAAGGAAGGATATAAATCCTGGTGATAAGTGCCTTGCCCCTCAGCAATGCAACTAAAATGTCAGTCAGAGCTTTTATAACAATACCATAATCAAAAATCTGTCTCAATAGTTCATATACATTTGGTTTCACAGCACCAATTACAATCCCAATAATGAAAAGCTCTTCTCCCATCTCCTCCCCGTGACTCCCCCTTCCTTCTTATCTATATATTCCTGTCTGTCCGGCTTTCCCTGCTATGCAAATGCTGCCCTTCTGATCTCTCACAGTTGATTAATCTAAGAGGTACATCTCCCTGGAGTAGGTGTTCTGTTCAAAGGCCTTTCTACTGTTTGGCTGAGAGTAATCCAAGGAAATGAGTCCAGTTCCAGTCCTGAAGGCTAACCTGGGGCCATAGTCTCTGGGCTCCACCAATCTCTATTTGACCAGTAATTCTGGTCATTTTTTGTGATTTTGAATTTTGTTCCACATTTTCCCTCTCACTCTATCCAGAAACTCCAATTTTGATCCCTTTCCAAGTGGTTGGCATTGGTAACCAGACACCATCTAGTTCTGTTCTCAGAGATGTGAAGGCTGTCACATAGGTGATTTTTAAAGGAGCACAGTACTTATAGGTGATAGTATTTTTTGAGCCAATTTATTAATGAGCTACAAGGTGACCTCAGGGTTAGTTTTGGTTCAAGATTTGAAGAGTATCTCAGGGCAGTAGTCTTGGGAATCCTCCAGTCTCAACTAGTCCGGTAAGTCTGGGTTTTGTTTGTTTAGGAATTTGAGGTCCTGTTTCACATTTTTATCCCATCCTATCAGGATCCATCTATTCTGGCCCTGATTAGAATCTTTGGTAGTGGTAGCTGGGCACTATCTAGTTCTTCTGATCTCAAGGGAGATGAGGCCATGGTTCATACAGAGTGTTTGTCCTGTAGACCAGTTTCTTCTCTGAATGTTTGGTTTCCCTCTTTCTCTTTTGCTCTGGATGAGTAGAGACCAGTAGCTGTATCTTAGATGTCTTGGAATAGTCTTACATTCATTTACTTCATTCAGTACTTACATTCAGTACTTCAAGTATTGAGGCCCTGTTGCAAGCTCAGGGATGCAGTGGTATAAAAGACAGAGAAAGTGCCTACTCTCATGGAGCTGACTCTCTACCATGGGGGGAGAAATAATAATAATAATAAATAAATGAATGAACAAAAAATTCAGATAGTAAGTGCTCTGGGTAAGGGGAGGGATGGTATAGAAAGAGTCTGTGACCACCATGATAACATTAGGAAAAAGGAGGACACCAAATTGTACACACAAGATGTAGATGACAGATGCTAACACGAACCAGTGTATCCACAATACTGCATTACCATTAACACCAAACACCAGGCTACAGATAAACACATAAACATCTGAGAAGATCAGCTGGGGTTCACTGAACAGGACTATACTCTAGACCAAGGATAAATTCAGCGCAGGCTAACCTTGCACAGATACCAGTGATACAAAATACCCACAGTCCTTGCAGAAACAACAGAAGAAGACATAGAGTAATCCCTCACAGACCCAGATACTGTGGGAGAGAGATCCAATGGATCTACTGTCTCAGGACCATAGTACTGGGGGATACCAGACTCAATTGGCACAACAAAATACATAAAAGTCTTGTTCCTCATCCTGCATTGGTGAGTATCGACTGGGGTCTCAGAAGCTTTCAAGCAGCAATCTAAGATGCAGCTAAAGGTCTCCTATCATTGGAAGTGAAGAAGATTGCAAAAAAACCAAGGGCCTTTGGAAGCAATCAGCTCTAGGAAATGATGGCCCTCGAGACTAGAAGAACTAGATGGTGCCTGTCTACCAGTGTCAACCACTCAGGAAAGGATCAAATCTGGAGATTCTGGATAGAGTGGGAGGGAAAACGTGGAATAAAATACAGAAACTCAATAATGACCAGAATTACTGGCTGGATGGAGTCTGATGAGACCCCCAATACTATCGTCCTGAGATACATTCTGGGCCTGGAATAAAACTCACTCCCAGGGGCTGGCTCTCAGCCCAATAGTAAACAACATGTACACATAGACCACTCAACTCAGGGTGATGCACCCACATACTCTATGGAAATGCATCCTTTGGAGCAATCGACCAAGGGGCACCAGAGGGGCAATATTCGCACGGAGGAAATGCAGGCACACAAGAATGCATAACTATGAAGGGCACGGGGGCAAGGGTAGGAGACAGGTTTACTGGGCAGAGAGGGAAGGAGACTGGTTTAGGGTTGGAGATGGTAAATGGGGAGTGAAACTAAATGTACATGTAATGTTGCATGTAAAGCAAACTTTGCTCTGTAAACTTGCACCTCTAAAGAACAATTAAAAAAAAAAAAGAAAAGGCCCATAGCTTTTACAATGATTTGAAAGTTGCATGTACAAGTGAAGGTGATTGTGATGAATAATTTGTTACAATTAGGGTTTGGTTTAATAGTTTCAAAGTGAGGGCAAGTTTACATGACATTAAAGCAGGGGCTCAAAGATGGTAGCACCCATTCAAAGATGCTGGCCAACTGCATCACTTTGAATGTGTGTGGCTCTCCAAAGTCTTCCCTGTAAAATAAATAAATAAATACAAATAAGTGCTCTGAAGCCTGTAAAACAGATCTGCTTCAGATTATATGGTCAAGGAAGGCCTCTCTGAGAGGGGATGTCTTTTGTTCTAATACCTCAGTCACAAGAAGGAGACTGTTTCAGGATCTGTGGTCAGGGCATGCTAAGCTGAGGAAGTCACCAGTACAGACACTGGAAGTGATAATGTGCTTGGCATGTTAGGGAGATTGAAAGAAGCCCCCTGGGATTTGAGTGGAGTGGGTGAGCAGGAGAGAATGGCTAGATAAGATGGGAGGGTGGGCAGGGCCTGATCAGGTAGGAATGGTAGGGGATTGGAGGTGTCAGAACATCCCAGAGGTAGCATGGATTAGCTCAGAGTCTAGCTAGTTATCCAAAAGCTCAAGGAGGTTGCCAGCCATTCTTTTTCTTTCTTCCCTTCTTTTTTAATTGTGATTTGGGTGGAAGTTTACAGAGCACATTAATTTTCCATTCAACGGTTGATACACATTTTGTTTTATAACGTTGTTTGGAATTCCTACAATGTAACAGCTCTCTGCCCACTTCCTCCCTATGGTTGCCTATGTGTCCTTCTTTCCTATGCATTCCTGCCCTCTGAGCTATCTCCCTGTGCAAATGCTGCCCTCCTGATCTCCTGTGGTTGTTTGTTGTAAGGATTTTACCTACCTGGTGTAATTCTTCACCACATAACCCTGTCAACTCTTTGGCTGGAAGTTAAACCAGCCCAAAGTGAGTTCAGATTCCAAGCCTGAAGGGTGACTAGGGGCCATAGTGTTGGGGGTTTCACCAGTCTTTATCAGACCAATAAGCTTGGTCTTTTTTTATGACTTTAAATTTTGTTCCAAATTTTTCTTCCACTCTATCCAGGATCTCCAGTTTTGATCCCTTTCTGAGTGGCTGGCAGTGGTAGTGGGCATTATCTAGTTCTTCTGGTCTCGGGGTCAATGTAGGCTGTGGTTCACATGGTCCACTAGTCCCTTGGACTAATTGTTTCCATACGCCTTTGATTTTCTTCACTCTTCTTTGCTCCAGACAAGGAGAGACCAGTTGTTGCATCTTAGGTGGCCACTTGCAAGCTTTCAAGACCCCAGTCACTACTCACTAAAAGTGGGATGTAGAACAATGTTTTTGTGTAGTATGTTATGCTAATGGAGCTTGTTGTCCCCTGTTACTATGGTCCTGAACACGCAGGCCCTGCAACTCATTCCTCAAGGTGTTTGGCCAGCTAGTCTTCAGAAGCAAATGCTTCACAAGTGCACTGTGTAGTGATCATAGTGGTGTTTTACAGCATCATCCCTGCCTGTGTGTTTTCTTCTGTAGCCAGGACAGAGGTGCGTACAAGGACCTGCCTCAAGTTCCCCTCCCCACCCAGCTATATAACTGGGCCGCTCCGGAGGTGATCTTACAGAAGGCTGCCACGGTGAAGTCAGACATTTATAGCTTTTCTATCATCATACAGGAAATTTTAACAGGTAGGCCAAGGAGTGCATTAATGGTTGACCAAAGTCCCTATTCTTAGATTGGATTTTTTTCCTCAAGAGTAGCTTAGTTTTATGAAAATGCGAGATGGAAACTTCTCAGTGGTTGTGTGGATGTCATAAAATGATCTTGCAGAAATCTCTTTCTTTTAATGTTCCTTAAGACCCTGTAGAACCCACCCATTGGCTTATCAGTGATAATGCATCTAATCCAAAGCAAACTTTTAAAAACTGAGTGCCACTTTAGAACTTGTTAATGAAGGGGAAAGACCTCTGAGAGTAATCTTTGAAACCAAACACATTCAGCACCCATTTTATGCATAAGCAGTGTCACTGGAAGAAATGGAAGTCCTCATGGGAAGAAGGTAGTCACATATCTAGAGACAAGGGTATCGGTGCTGAAGGTGTGTGGGTGTGTGCACACACACACAGTAGACACATTCACCAAGGGTGTGAGGGAGAGTCAGCTTCCCTTAGTAGTTTTTACAACCCCAGAGACAAAACCACACCTTGTGACAGATGCATCATATTGGTCAGCAGGGATTCCATGTGTACGTGATGCTGACATTTCCTATTTCTGGAACAGAGAGGCCTCACTGGTAAATGGGCAAAGTGGCTTCTCAGGTGCAATTGAGTTCCCTAGGTAGTTTCTCTGGGAGCTCTGGTAGCATAGTGTCTAAGGCACTCGACTGCTAACCAGAAGGCTGGCAGTTCAAACCCACCAGCCACTCCTTGGAAGGAAGGTTGGGCAATCTACTTCCGTAGTGATACCGCCTCAGCAACCCGAGGAGGGGTCGCTGTGAGTCGGAGCCGACTCAACAGCACATAACAACAGCAGCAACAACAACAGGTAGCTTCTCTGCTAGGAGAAACTGATCTTTAAAGGGGTTGAATGACTTGATTAAAATTACTCAACTTCATTCAATTTCTTAATGTTACTCCTTCCTATGACTTTTTTCTTATAGACGACATACCCTGGAATGGTTTAGAAGGCTCAGTTATTAAAGAAGCCATAGTCTTGGGAAATAATTTAGAAGCTGATGTCAGGCTCCCAAAACCTTACTATGATATTGTTAAGTCAGGCATCCAGGTCAAGCAGAGACACCGAACTATGAACCTTCAAGATATCTTGTATATTCTGAAGAATGACTTAAAGGTAACCCCTGAAGTTGTTGTGTGTTTATTTCTGCTTACCTGTCTCAAGGGAGTCAGGAGTTAGAGGCCAAGGGTCACAGCTATAAGAGTTCTGGAACATCCCCATTTTGTTACCTCCTTTCTGTGTTCCTGAGATAAGCCTCATTGCTTAACTTTGTGATAAGGGCAGCAAGGAACTGAGGAGGGGGAGCTGGGAGGCTCAACAGTGCAGGGACATGCTGTGGGTTCAATGTTTGGCACTTATCATTAGAATTTGAAAAATATTTCTAATAACAATGAATTAGCTAATTAGAATTGTAACCAGTCTACCCTGTATCTGATAGGTGGATCTCTTTTTGAAAACATCATTAACATTCAGACGACTGCAAATCTATACTTGACAATATTTGTCTTACAGGATTTTATTGGAGCCCAAAGATCTCAGCCAACTGAGAACACCAGAGTACAGCAATATGAGCCCTATCCTGATGCCAGTGTCTATCTGGGATTGACGTCAGAGCATGGGAAAGAGCCCCCTGACTTGGAAATAAAAGAACTAAAGGGATCCGGTATGGTCTTAACCCACAGGCTAAGCATCATTTTGACATGATATGTGTTCTGAGAGTCACATGAGCTATAACTCATGAGATTTTCTGAACTGTAAATGTAACTTATGCCAGTTAAAGATGATACTTTAGAGGAAAGTCAAGATCCTTAAAATCATTAAGTTAAACAGAGCTAAGCAGTCACAACCAGTTTATTCCCAGCATCATTACTCTCAGGAATTTATCTTAAAAATAATATTTTAAAAAATTGAAAATAGTATTTGTTCACAGTAGAAAATTTAGAACAGTATACTTGAGAGAATTACTTAACACTTTAATTCTGACACTTAGAAATAATTTATTAAAAGTTTGGTGTTTTCTTCCAGTCTTTTTTTCTGTAGCCTTACTACTTTTTAGTATATTTGGAAACCTTGAATTTAGAGCTGGAAAGGACCTTGCAATCATCTGGCTCAGTGCCTCATATTACAGAAATGAAAACTAAGGTTCAGAAAAGTGGCGGCTGCTCAGGGTTGCAGACCTTGTTAGATAGCTTGAACCTAGGCTGACATTTCATTTCTGCCTCTTTGCAACAGTGCTGGAGGCCAATGGGGGCGAAGCTCTCATTAGTTTGACTCCTCCATCCTATTCTGTGCAAGCCATATACTCATCAACCAGGGGTGAAGGGTGGCCAGTCCCAGGGTTATTTTTTGAGATACTATTCTTCCCACGATGCAATGGCTTCCTGAGCACAATCTTAGCTTTTTTTTTTTTTTTAAATTGTGATTTGGGTGACAGTTTACAAAGCAAATTCATTTTCCATATAGTAGAATCTTAGCTCTTTTTATCAGATACTTACTAAGAACATAACATCAACTGGCATAAACAGTCCAACTCGTATGTATAAAGAAAGCTATGGATGTAGTCATTAAGGTTCAGGGGCCTGTAGCTTGTATGTGTGGACAGTTATGCATATTTTGAGCATACTATAGATGAAGTTTAAGGAGCTCTAGTGGCATAGTGGGTAAGGCATTTGGCTGCTAACCAGAAGGTCAATGGTTCAAACCCACCAGCTGCTCTATGGGAGGAAGATGAGGCAGTCTGCTTCTGTAGAGATTTACAGCCTTGGAAACCCAGTGGAGGTCTCTATGAGCTGGAATCAACTCAGTGGCAGTGGATTTGGTTTAGGGTTTATAGATCAAGCTTAGCACATTCCCCCAAGATTTCGTCCCCACTGAAATTTTTTCCAAAAATGGAATTTTTGCCTAAGTAAGAAATACCCTCTCACTTATGGGAGTGTATCTGGCAGCATTCTGAACCTAGGAAGGGATTGGGAAAAGAGAAAGCATCTCTCTGCTTTCTCATGAAACTGAAGCAACAAGCCAAGGCTGCTTAGCTGCTGGATGTGAGCACTAACCAGGTGCATGTTACTTTCTAAAAAAACCTCATTATTGATTTTTTCAACAGGTAGTCAGCTTCATTCACCAAAGGGTCACTTTTCCCCCACTGAGGAAGCAGTACTAGATGCTCAGGCCCCAGATCCAAGTCTGGTGGCCAAGGAGACTCAGAACCAAGGCTCTGATTCTTCTGTGTCATCTGTGGTGGGAGATATCAGGAGCCCAAGTACAGGTCAGGTGAGCCTCTATAGCTTCGAAATCAATGAAATTTACTCAAGCTGCTTGGATGTGGGAGATGATAAAAAAGAGGATCCCCCAGGATCTGTTTCATCTCTTGAGGGGGATAGACCACCCCAGGGAGATGAATTGAAGTCCATGGAAGAAGAGTTGGACATGATGGAGAGAGAGGCATGCCGTCTTTGCAGTGAAGATGAGAGCCCTTCGGAAACTGAAACAGAGCTCTCCATTGAGGACTGGGATTCGGAGGATAGTTCTCTTAGTTCATCCAGCGTGCATGAGTCTACCAAAGAAGCCAAGGTCATGGTGAGCAATAGGTCTATGACTGATGAGTACCTCAGTAAGTGTGTGCTGAACCTGACGATTGCACGGAAGTTAATGTACCAGAATGATGATTTGCTGAAGAGTACCCAACAGAAAATCGATGAGCTTGCAATGATGCAGAAAGAGCAGGCAGAGCACTGGTCTTTGTGGATGACTTCAAGAATGTTTGCAGACATTTCTGATGTACCATTAGCTGTGGGTCCCCCAACTTTGACCTACATCCCTCCTATCATCTCACTGTCAGGGGACCAGAAGCTGGATACTAGTGGTCATTCCCATACTCTAGCAAGGTCTCCAAGGACAGTGCAAGACTTTCAAGGAGGACACTTTGACAAAAGAGCCAGGAAAGGAAGTGACTATGGCCGGAAGGCTTTCATCCAGGTCTCTGAAGAAAGCCCTGGGGATCAGTCAGAGAAGAGCCATCAGGTAAACCTAAAAGGTGGGAGGCAAGGGCAGCCCAACCCAGACCTGATGTGGGTTTAACACTGCCCCTAACCTGTGTGAGGGGACTAGCATAAAGTTGCAACTAACTCATAGCAGGGTTTTCTTGGCTTTGGGAAAAATTCCATTCCTCTAGGATGGAATTTCAATGTAGATATTCTCCACTTCTCATTCCAATCCCAACACACAGCTCTTACTCCTTACTGTTCTCTGTAAAGAATCATGATGAAATGGATGAAATTGCTGTTTTTATAGGTTAAAAACAATCAATTTTTTTTAGGTTCTACTTATTATGTAAACTATCTTGGGCAAGTATTAATTCCCATCCTAAATTACCTTTTCATTCATTTAGTCATTCATTAATTCAGCAAACATTTATAGAGCCAGAGACTATATCCTCTGGATCCAGATCCCTGGATATGATGATGAATGAACAATAAGCTTTGCCTATGAATAGTTCAAACACTGGAGATGGGGGGACACTCTGGTGGTCAAAGAAGACACCTCAAAGGAGGTGAGAAAATGTCACAGGAGTTGGCCTGAAAGGTGCAGCTTGAGACTTAGAGAGACTGGAGAATGGTTTGTCTGTGAGTTTCTCAAGGCAAGCCCCAGTCTTACTCATTCGGTGCCCCAGCACTCAGCATAGTGCTTGGCACGTGGTAGGTTCTCTGTAAATGGTCACTGAAGAAATGTGTAAATGAGGGAATTTGGACAGGTTCACATGTAGAGAGCTGGCTGTTCTTAGAATCACAGAAGTTCAGATAGATTATCTCACACACGTAAAGCTCAAGCTCAGTTACTTAAACTTCCCAAGGTCCAGTGGCATTTTACCAAGAGTGGAAGTAGAGCAGGAAGGGTCTGCCTGTTGGAAGGATTTTATCACCTACATTGTTTTGAATTGCTGACCCATAGTGATAAAAAGCACACTAACTTTTATCGGGGTTTATCATTGTTTCAAAATTCTCTGCCTACAACACACTCCTTTATTGCCTGCACAGATCAGACAGCTCCCACTGCCCCTACCACTTGCTCTGCCACCGCTGAGTCCACAGCTGTTTAGGTGCAGATCTCCTAACTCCTAGTCTAGTGTTCTGTCACTGCGCCATGCTGAATTCCGGTGAGGCTGCAGGCCTCATTTAGAAAATGTAAAAAAGCTTTGGCATCTGTTTCATATAAAGAAAAGGCACAAAGAATTTACTTAGACCCTAATATTTCTGTTTCCATTGAAAATTAGTGTTTTCGAGAAAACTATTAACTATAAACTAATATAAGTTACCCATTTTCTTATATATTATGTTTTGGTTATCTATTGCTGTGTAACAGACAAGCCCAAAACTTAGTGGCTTAAAATAACAATGGTTTCTTATTTCTCTCAATTTTGTGGGTTGGGAATTTGACAGTGCTCACGTGGCATTGGCTGTTGTGTGCAGATGGCAACTGGGCTGGGCTAGAACATCCAAGGCGGCTTCGTTTATGTGATTGGTGCCCACGGTGTGCATCCGTGTGGCCACTCTCTGCACCTGGCTTCTCATCATTCACTGAACAGTCTCTCCCACCCTTCTCCACAGCAGGGCAGCTGGCTTCTCAAGCACAAGCAGAAGCTGCCAGGCCTCTTTAAAGCTAGTCCCAGCCGTGGTCATTGTCACTTCTGCTTTCTGTCCATCAAAGGAAGTCCCAGGCTAGCCCAGATTCAAAGGGAGGCGAAATGGATTCTATCTCTTGGTGGAGGGAGCAGAAGTGTAGTCCGTGAGTGTAGGAACTGATGGCAGCCGTCACTGAAGACCATTTACTAGCACATATGCCTATGTATGGGAGCTCTGGTAGCAGGGCCTAAGGCACTGGACTGCTAACCAGAGGGCTGGCGGTTCAAACCCACCAGCTACTCCTCGGAAGGAAGATGGAGCAATCTACTTCCGTAGTGATACTGCCTCGGAAACCCAAGGAGGGGTTGCTATGGGTCGGGTCTGACTTGATGGCACATAACAACAACACAACATGACTATGTATAGAACATTCATCTTTTCTTTAAAAACTCTACTGTTTTTCTAACATCATCAGAGAATATGGTATTTCTACTTAAGTGAATTTTTCTGACAATTGAAATTTATTTCTCTAACTTCTCAATTCTGAAAATTGTAGTCATTTTGAATGAAGCCATATTGTCAACTTCCTTTTATTCTAAAAGCTCTGTTGAATATATTGTAAATATATCCTAAGCTTTCCTTGGTGACAGTTACATTTTTCTGACTCTCCTGACACAGAGCTGTCTTCCGCTCCTGCTGCAAGGCATCTGCCCCCCACGGAGCCCTCTGCACTCATGCTTTGGGGAACTTGTGATGGTTTTTACGCTTCTTCTCACTTCTAGATGCCTTGCCACCTCCCCAAATCCCACCTTTATTGCCTTAATTTATTGCAGGCTAGGGAATATAATTAACTGAGTTTGTCATAATTATGTTACAATTGGAATAAGCAGACCCAAAAGGCTCTTTTTTGATTAAGAGCATCACCTTCAATATTTTTAGTTTATACTATTTATACTATTTCACTCCTCAGAAGGAAGGTTCGGCAATCTACTTCCATAGAGATACTGCCTCGGAAACCCAAGGAGGGGTCACTATGAGTCGGAGACGACTCGACGGCACATAACAACAACTATTTCAAAGTATCATGATGGCCTTCATTTATTTTCATAGCATCCCCACTGGTAGATTTGTGCAGATATTATTGTCCCCATTTTATGGATGGAGGACACTGACACACTAGACTCTCCTAAGTTAGTCTGAGGAAGTCTTAGACTAGAACCCAGGGTCCAGGACTCCTGCCATGAAGCTCTGCTGCCTTAAGAATCATATAGGGAAAGAGTGCTCGGAAAAGTTTATTGATTTTTTTTTTTTTAATCTAAAAATTTATTTTACTATGAAGCATTTTAGTAGTAAAATTTTAAAAAATTTGCTCTGTAGTGTTAGAAGTTGGACATATTGTGCAAGAAACTCAGCCCTTAAGTTTTTAAATTGTTGATGTCTATTTTGTCTGCACAAAGTCATTCTTCACTTGCATTGTTTCTGGACTGGGTTCCCAGGGACCACCATTTCTGGGTGAAAGACTCCAGCTAAGAGATTAATTCCTACATAGGAAACATGCCAAGGGGATTCATTTTGAAAAGTGTGATTATTTCTGCACGTTTAGCAAGAATGGCTGTGAGGATGGAGTGAGGAGAAGAACTCTCTCTTCAAAGCACTGACACATGTTTACTGCTTTTTAAGCTGCCAACTCTCTGTGGCTCTGGAAAACAGAACACCGGTGAACAGTTTCACTCTACTCAAGGAGCCAAGAACAATTTGGACAGAAGCAGGAACCCAGATATCAATAGGTAGGTTACATGTTTTTATTGTTCTTTGTGTCACCAGGCCATTGGGCTCCCATGTGACCCTGAAGCCACTTCATGATGTCCTAGTGATAAGTAGGTTCATGAGGAATGAAGAAAAGTCATATAGAAACAGGTCTTGGCAGATCCTCTCAGTTAAATGAGCAGAGAAGAGCAGTGTGCTGAAAGCTTATCAAAGATAAAGTGGCTGTGAGGTTGATCAGACAGAACACATCAACTGTCAAAAGCAAAACAGCTTGCCTTTCCCAAATTGCCCAGATTGTTTTCCTTAGAAATGCCAGGTATTCCATTTGACTGGCCTCCAGCAACCAAAGTTTGAAAACCAGAGCTGCTCAAAGTAAGTGTCACTGACTGGAGGACTGGAGGACCGGAGGGGGAGCTGAACAGTCTCACAGTTACCCTGTGCCCTCTGACTTCAGGCAGAGAAGTGATGTGGAATGGTTTCAGCACCAGTCACTGGAAGGAGAGCCTATATCTACACTTGGTTTTTCAGAACTTATGTCAAACCAATTTTATTTTGCATAGAGGGAATTATTATTTTTAAAATTATTTTTTAAGGTAAACTAAGTATAGCAAATTTAGTTTTTCTCTGAGCAAATGAGAAATGGCAGCATTAATCCACAGCTTAGAGGTCCATTCTAAAGGGAAGATAACTTTGGTTTCTGCTCATGATGCCTGAGACTGATGATGAGTATGCTGTTCCCCTCATGCTGGGAACTATATGAAAGTGGCATCAAGGCCAAGGCCCAGTCACTTTCCATTAGTGTATTTTGTTTTTATGAAGGGACTTAGTGAGGAACCATCTCACTGGCATCAGAGGGTTTGACACTCAGGCCATTCATCAAAGCAGACGAAGTGACACTGTAGCCATTCCATGACAAAGAAGAACTTGTAGTTGTGGCCTCCCCTGCCCAGCTTCACCTTCAACTCCCAGAAGAACAAAACACAAGCCAAAGAAAAGTTTTCACATTTTGCCATCTATCCTTCTAGTCTTTTTGTATACATTTTAAGAATAAAAAGTTTAATTATGTACATGTAGGCAATTGTATATCTGACTTTTCAGTTTTCATTAGAACACGAGCATCATTACATGTTATTAAGAACACCCTGTAAACGTATTTTCAAACTGTTGGATTCTCCCCATTATTGAATACCAGGTTGTTTCATTCTTTTTTCCTATTATGAGCAAGGCTGCATGCAGTGACTATAGCTTTTTCTGCATTTTGGATTATATCCTTAGGATAGATTTCCACAAGTAGAATTGCTAGGCCAAAGGGTATATACAATTTCAGGACTCTTTAATTGACGTTGCCAAATTGCTCTTTAAAAAAGAAGCCCCTCAGATCTGACCTCTCTGATTCAACAGTCTGTTTACAACCTGGCTGGGAAGTAGGGCATTTTAGGTAATTGATACATATATATGCCACAGATCATACATTTTTGAAGAATTGGTTTAGTAGGTGCTAGTGTAGTGCCTAAGGCATTTGACTGCTAACCAGAGGCTGGCAGTTCAAATCCACCAGCCACTCCTGGGAAGAAAGGTTGGGCAATCTACTTCCTTAGTGATACTGCCTCAGAAACCCAAGGAGGGGTCGCTGTGAGTCAGATCCAACTCCATGGCAGTGGGTTTTTTTTTTTTTCCAAATACATATATAAGAACTCTGGTGGCACAACAATTAAGCGCTCGGCTGCTAACCCAAAGGTTGACAGAACCCACCTGGCATCTCCACAGGAGAAAAGACCTTGGCACTCTGCTTCTGTGAAGATTATGACCCAGAAAACTCTGGAGAAGTTCTGCTCTGTCATAAGGGATCAGTATGAGTCAAAATGGACCCAATAACATCTAATAAGAACAACAAAATTTAATGGAATATTTAGAGAGAAAAAGATGCCTTTATTTTGCAGATGAGGAAACCAAAACCCAGAGAGTAAAGGCTTGTCAGAGTCAGACAGCTAGCTAGGAGGAGGCCAGATCCCTGACTCATTGAAGTTAGGCTAAAGGCCTCCGAGTGTTCTTTTGAATCACCAATGCCTGGAGGCCATCTTTACAATGTTAGCTACTGTGTTAGCACTGATTTGTGGGGGCCTACTCCCAGAGATTTCTGAGAGAAGGGCAGAAACAGTTACTTAACCATCACCTGGGTTCTATGGCCTTCAGGGACAGTAACAGCCCAGGGACCAGGAATCTGTCCTGTGAAATTGTTTTAAATGTGTGTTTCCTCTACCTCTGAAGATGTCCTATGAACATTTTTAGAATCATGCATCTGTACTTGGTAACTGAGTAAACCTTAGAGACCTTCAAGCCCAGGCCTTTCATTTCTTAGTCAGGGAAAGCCTAGAGAGTCCAGTGTCCCGGCCAAAGTCACCCAGCGAAACAGTGCGCTCTTCACGGTGTCAAGCCACCTGCAGGGACATCTGAGATCACCCAGCAGTGTTCAGGACTCTACCAGGTAAGGAAGGAGCTTTGCGTCCTGAACGTTGGGAGTGTCTGGGGCCCTCTTGTGGTGGGCACAAGTCAGTGCAACCCAGGAATGACTCAGGGAGTAGGAGGCAGTTCTTCTGGGTAGGATTGTGGACCCAGCACTGTATCAGAAATGTGAGCATACTGATGTGTTTGTGTCTGTCTGCTCCCCACTTCTACCCAAAACACTTATGCAATTTAGGATCAGTATGGAATCTGTGTCTTCTAAAATCTGTAATCCAAAATCAAGAAACCATGAAGATGAAGAGGTACATTTAAAATGGAAATGTAAGTATAAATTTTTGTTAGAAAAAATTAAATTTAAGGTATATTGCTAACTTCTGTCTCCTGATAGACTACAGAAGGGAAATGCTTTTTTTTGTTCTAGACTTTAGAGGAAATATTTATAGTATAAACAACAACAACAACGAAAAAACACACTCACTGCCATGGAGTCAGATCTGACTCATAGTGACCCCTTCTTGGGTTTCCAAGGTGCTATCTCTATGGAAGTAGATTGCCCAACCTTCCTTCTGAGGAGTGGCTGGTGAGTTTGAACCGCCAGCCTTCTGGTTAGTAGTCAAATGCCTTGGGCACTAAGCTACCAGAGCTCCTATTTATAGTGTATATATATGTATATTACATAGCAAGTATAGTAGACCAAGAATATATAATACATAGCATGTGGTGTTACTTTAGCATATCCTGTGGACATTATCCTTCTGTATCAGTCTCATCATGTCAGGTATGAAAGGATGCAGCGTCTAGTGCTAAGTGACAGTAGCAGGAGTGTAGAACATTTGGAATGAAAACACACATATAAACACATACCCTCCCAAAATATGAGTTCAGTACAGCCTAGAAAGGATAGATAACCTTAGAATCCTTTCTGCTTGTCACTACAGACTGGAGACTTCAAATGTAATTTCCTTGTAAAATCTCCATAGCAAGAGGGTCCATCTAACTTTTCTGCTGCCTTCCAGTCTGGAATTCAGCAACAAGGACTGTTGTTTAAGAAACAGACTGAAATTTTGCCCTTCCCTGGCTCTGTCATCAGTTCTCCTGTCAAGCCAAACAGGGCCAGTGAAGGATGCTGTGACCATAGAAAGGCAGTTATTGTGATGATCTGAGCTGTAACAGTATTACATCACTCCTTAGGAATTGGAACCCCCTCCCCCCAATGTACACCATGATGTTTTAAATGCTGCTTTTTCTTGTGCTCAGCGGAAGTGAAAGAAATGGCCGAGAAAGCAGCTGCTGGGCAGCTCACAGTACCTCCGTGGCATCCTCAGAGTAGCTGGGCTTCAGAGGGTGAGGCTGAAAGCCAGCCCCTTAGCTTGCTGCAGCCCCCAGCTCAGGACCTTGAGAACGTGGACTGGCAACAAGCACTAGAGTGTCCCGGGGAAAACGACAAGCCAGGAAGGAACAGTAAGCGTGACAAAACGGACAACACTGGCCAGCCTGGGGGGCAGCCGGGGCCTCGGAGCTTCACCAGTAAGTTCACTTGTGGGAATCGGGATAGGTGAGCTCTGTGTAGTCATCAGCTTTCAAAAATAAGTCAACCTCTGGCATATTTCCTTTTCTTGGTCCTCTTCCCTTTCCCACTTGTCGAAAGAAAATGAAACAATCTCCATATACAGTCCTGGGTCCTGGTCCTGGGTCTAACCTGGCAAGGAATTGAACTTTTCTTACCTAGGGCACCACTCCTTTGCATTGCATTTTAAGTTGGACATACATCCACTGGCTCCCAGAGACCCCATGCCAGACCAGCCCACAGTCAAATGACATGCATCATCATCACCATACAGTTAGAGGTAAAAACCGTAGGCTGTGTATTTCCACCTGGTAATTTGTCTGCTCTCAGGGCCAAAGGAGGAAACATCTAATGTGATCATTTGTCTTAGGCAGAAAATTTGTTGCCTTGGGTATTTTTGGTATTTAGAATCTGTTCCTTGTCAAACATCCCTCTTGAATGAGTAGAAAAAAAGTCGATGACCAAAGGCTGTATTTTGGGAGCGACCAAACTAAGTCTCCACTCTCCAGACCTAACCAACATGTGGGACCTGGTCACCCTTAGCAGAATACACACCCTTCTCTTCTCTCATGCCACCTTTTGCCCCTTCCAGGGAGTATCACCGAGTGACTTTGGCCCTGGTTGTGTTATACTTGTTAGGTGCCAGGCAGCTGTCCCTTGGAAAGAGTGAGCAGCCAACACATAGTGGGGCCTTTCAAGCAATGTCTGATGCATCTGTGGCCATCGAGAAACCTTGCAGCGTAAGTAACATGTCCTGGAGAGCCCCGTTGACCCCAAGGACCTGAGAAAGTAGAACTGACTTGTTGTTAGCGTTATGACGCTAAATCATATCTACAGTAGTTCTTTTTGGGTGGAGCATGTGCCTTCTTGTTTCTGATATGAATAAAGCCATCTTCCTCCAGTACCTAATACCTTTTTTTTTTTTTTTTAATTGTGATTTGGGTGAAAGTTTACAGAGCAAATTCATTTTCCATATAGCAGTTCACATACACTGTTTCTTATAACATTGACTACAGTTTACCACAATCAGCAATTCCCCTTCCACTTCTTCCCTATAGTTACCGCTTCCCTGTGTCCTTCCCTCCATGCACTCCTGCCCCTTGAGCTGTCTCCCTGTCTATACACAGCCCTTCTATTCTGCCATGGTTGTTCTCTCCAAGGAGTGTATCTACCTCATATAAATATTCACCTCATATGCCTGTCTTTTGTTTGGCTGGAAGCCACAGGTGTGGGTTCAGTTCCAGACCTGAAGGACAGTTGGGGCCATAGTCTCAGTGGTTCCGTCAGGCTCTATCAGACCGCGAACCTAGTCTCCCCCTCCCCCCTTTTTTTTTTTTCCAAATGATTTTGAGTTTTGTTCCACATCGTTCTCCTACTTTATCCAGGATCTCCTACATAGATCCCCTTCCAAGTGGTTGACAGTGGTAGCCAGGCACCATCTAGTTCTTCTGGTTTCGTAGTCATATAGTGCCTAATACCTTTTGCATGAGTTCAACTCAGTGTGTTTTATATGTTGGGGCTTGGAGAACACAGACGAGGGTCAGATTCAGCTCTTGCCCTTGAGCTTATTTTCTAGTAGGGTAGGTAAGGCCAACTCTTAAAGCCCAGTGTGAGATTAGTTACCAAAGCTCATGGCCTAGCAGGTGCCTGAGGTCATATTGGATGAATGGAAAAGCAAAGCCAGGGTTGTGATGACAGTGCTTTCGTCAAAACGTACTCTGAGACCCAGTTGAGGTGAAGCTCTCAAGACTCAGGTGAAGGGATGTGCTCACGCCTGACAACTGCCCCTCAGCATGATTTGTGAGGGCCAGTCATTCCCTAGCATTTGTACCAAGGTTACCGCCTTGCTTCAGGGGTTTAACACACCCTTGAAGCATGGAGTCAGCCCCAGTCCAGCTACATAAAGGAACTAAAGTTTTTTTTATTGTCATTGACTAACCTTGAAGCATGGAGTTGGGCCCCAGTCCAGCCAGATTAAGGAACTAAAATTTTTTATTGTCATTGACATCAGGCCATAGTCATTTAAAGAATAAAAACAGTTACTACTGAGAATAAAACATACATATGTAATTGTGATATAATTAGAGGTCTTTTGAAGAACATAGTATCCTCCGTGAGGACAGTTTATTCTTCCTCTCACGTGAGGGCAGGGGGAGCATGCCCACAAGAAGCATACTTACTTGCTTGGCTGGAGAAGCAGGTCTAGTCAGGGAAGTGCATACACGAAGAGGGAGGCCGGGCTTTCCGAGAAAGTTCAGTTTATTGTGAGAAGTAAAGGGTGTAGTGCCTGTTAACTATGCAGGCAGGGCAAATGTGTGGCAAAAGCAGTGTCCAAGGAACTGAGTCATAAAACTTTTGTAGAGGGATGGCTGAAGGTGAGGAGGGAAGCCAGTCATCTGGCTAGGTGATGATCAGGCCAGAAAAGGAAAGGGTTGAGCAGAGATGTGAAGGAAGAAGTACTGCTTTTTAATTTTCTTTTCATTATTGAGATTACATCACTATTTCTAAATCATCCTCCTTCATTTGCCTCTAAATGGGGACTACTTGAGGGACTGCCAAATTCTGAGCCTCCTCAGCATCCAGATTGGGAGCATGATGCCGACATGTGGACTCCGTCTACACCCTGGAGAGACAGGTGTTTCATTTCAGTCCCCAGCTTAAACTGGGTAGAGCTTTTATCTTTTTTAGTGTATAATATATATATAACTAAAACTTTGCCATTTTAACCATTTTTAAGGGCACACTTCAGTGATATTCATTACATTAACCATACTGTGCAGCCATGACCCTGTGCACTTCCAAATGTTTTACATCACTGTGGCCTTTCTCCTCACTTAGTCTCTTAGAGTAGAGAAGTCACCTGACCCCTACTTATTCCTACACTGGACTCAGAATGTCTCACTTTCTCCCCATGGGCTTCCAGGAAGATGAGCGGAGTTAGATGGGCAAACAGGGAGAGCTAGCTAGGAAGAGTGCCACAGTGATTGCTGGGTAATTTTAGATAATGTGGTTATTAATACTGTGTCCAACTATAAAGGGGCTTGTTCATGACCAATGGCAGCTTAAGAGTGATTTCTTACGTTATTAATAGGATCAGTGTGTGCGATCAACTTGTTCATCAGAGTCTTCTGAGGACATAACAGATGAGTTTTTAACTCCAGAGTATGATGGTTTTTACTCCTCAACTGGTCAAGAAAACTTAGCTCTAGAGGTAAAATCATCACAGTTCAGGGTAAAGTATGTTTTCTGCTTTCTCCATTGCCTTTTTCCTTTTTGAATCATTTTTATTGAGAAAAATAGTTTGCACATACAAAAGTATAATGTTCGTTCACTCGTGGTTTCAAGGAGCTGTGGTGGCATTGTGGTTAAACCATTTGACTACTAACCATATGGTTGGCAGTTCAAACCCACCAGCTGCTCCACAGGAAAAAGATGAGGCAGTCTGCTTCCATAAAAATTTACATCCTTGGAAACTCTATGGGGCATTTCTATTCTGTCCTAACAGGTCACTATGAGTTGGAATCAATTTGATGGGTTTGGATCTGTGGTTTTACATATGTTTTGATGAGCCATCGGAGAAATAGATTTTTAAGGAGTGGTCAAAAAAAAAAAGAGAGAGAGAAAGAATGGTCATGTGCAGTTTGTCCTAAAATTGTGGTCCTACATTTGTAAGAACTCTGTACTTTTTTAAAAAACAAAAAACAACTTTTATTCATGTTGCTTAATTCACATATCCTCCCTGTGGGGAAGAGAAGGTTTCTGGTAGTCTTGTGGGTGAACAGTATTCTTCTGGGTGAAAACCTGGCATCATAGGGCGTTGATGCAGAGTTGCCAAGGTTTGGTGGTGGGAGAGCCACTGGGACTGGAACCAAGGGTTCAGCCCCCAATCTGAGACCGTCCAGTACTCCAGCCTTTCTCCAGCATCTCTCCTCACTTTTGCAAGAACCTTCTTCCACAGAGTATTTTTATTTGCAAAATAGAATTCATTAGATTTTCTTTTCTTTCTTTCTTTCTTATTATTTTTTAAATTGTGATTTGGGTGAAAATTTAAAGAGCAAATTCACTTTCCATATAGCAGTTCACATACACTTTGTCTCATGACATTGACCACAATTTACCACAATGCAATAGCTCCCCTCCCACTTCCTCTCCATAGTTACTTCTTCCCTCTGTCCATCCCTCCATGCACTCCTGCCCCCTGAGCTGCCTCCCTGTGCATAAGCAGCCCTTGTTTCTCCCATGATTGTTCTCTCCAAGGAGTGTATCTACTTGAGGTAAATTTTCAACTCATATGCCTGTCTTTTGTTTGGCTGGAAACCACAGGTGTGGGTTCAATTCCAGACCTGAAGGGCAGCTGGGGGCGATAGTCTCAGCGGTTCCACCAGACTCATTAGATTTTCCTATTTACTTATATAATTGCCTCCTCTCCCCTATAACCTGCCACCCTGTTAAGGTCTTTTACCAACATGGAAGATGTGGTGGAGGAAAGGGGGATTGTAAATGTCAATTGCAGCATTTGGCTGAATAAGAAGAATCTAGTGATGTATTCGACGGCAAATAACAACAACAACAAACTGATGTATCCCAATGTATAATTTCCACTTGCCTGTGCTTCTGCAAACCGTCAGAGCAGTTTTCCATTATTAACAACCCTTTAAACATTATTTTACTGTGAGCAGCCCAGGCCATTAAGAAAATCTTCTTTATTAAAGTTTAACATAGTGAAAAGTGAATGGATCTTAAGTGTACAGCTCAAGGAGTTTCCCAAAACTGAACCCAACCATGTAACCATGTAAACCGAGATCAAGAAACATCTTTCTTACTGCTATCAAGTCGATTCTGACTCACAGCAACCCTACAGGACAGAGTAGAACTGCCCCATAGGATTTCCAAGGCTGTCATCTTTATGGAAGGAGACTGCCACGTCTTTCTTCCACAGAGAAAGTTTGGTGGGTTTGAGCTGCCGACCTTTCTTTCCACTGGCAGTTGAGTGTTTTAACTACCGCATCACCAGGACTCCTTGAAACAACATTCCCAGTCCTCCAAAGCCCCCCTCATGCTCCCTTCCAGTCACTGCCCCCCTCCTGAAGGAACCGCTGCCCCACAGGTTAGTTCTGCAGACTGGGCCATCTTTTCAACCTTTTTGGCTATTCTGATAAAGCTCCAAGAACCAAGACTTATTTTTAAAATTTAGTTTATTGTTGTTGTTGAGAATATACATAGCAGAACATACTCAACACTTTCTACAAGTACAATTCAGAGACATTGATGACATTCTTCAAGTTGTGCAACCATTCTCACCCTCCCTTTCCAAATTATTCCTCCCTCATTAACATAAAGTCACTATCCCCTGAGTTTCCTATTTACTCTTTTAAAGAGTTGCTGTTTGAACTCATATAGATAGTTCTTAAAAGACCACAGTGCTCAAGGCAGACATTCTTTATTAGTTAAGCTAAACTGTTGTTTGGTTTTAAGAAAACTTCAGGGGGTATTTTTGTTTTAAGATTTAAAGATTATCTCAGGGCAATAGTTTTGGGGCTTCATCCAGCCTCAATGGATCCAGAAAGTCTGGATTCCATGATAATTTAAAATTCTGTTCTGCATCTCCCCCCTCCCTTTTGATCATGATTCTTTTATGGAATCTTTGATCAAAACATTTTTGGTAGAAGTTTGGGACGAGGAGAGGATAATGATTTGAAGAGGGGAAAGGTCCTCAAAATGGGAGGAAGGCTTGTTTTATGGGATGGGGAGAATGTAGTACAAATAAATACTTATTGTTTGTGGTGAAAATTTCTTCTTTTTTTTTTTTTGTAAAAGATGCAGGTACAGTGTGTAGATTTTCAAGGTTTAAGAGTACTAAGAAATTTTCTCCACTTTTTGATGATATGTCTGCCTCCAATGAACCTCCTTTCTTTGATCTTCTTTCATTCTTTTGTAGACCTCAAGTCCCATAGAAGAGGCCTCAGGAGGAATACAAGGTGCACTTGCTCAACCTCATGGCTCTGGTAATAAACCTTTAAGGCAGATTCCTTTGAGAATCACTTGCCTTCACTTTCTGTCAGATCGTGGATATTTAGAAATGGAAGAGTCCTAAGAGAAAACCTTTGATTTTACAGATGAGAAAACCAAGGCTCAGTGATTACCCCACAGATTGAATCCCTTCCTCCTCACCAGCTTCATGACATCTATCATGTGACGTAGACCTCCCCTTGTATTTTATAGCATAAATTATAGTGGTGACTTTTCTTTACCTCCTGTTTCCCACTAGATTCCAGGCTCTTTGCTCATTTATTTTTGCTGAACTGACCTGAGGGATTTACTTAAATCACATAGCTTATTATTGACAGAATAGAAACTAGAACTAGGTCCCATGTCTTTCCCTGCTCTGGAAGGCGGAGTTTCACCATCATTTTCCTCTGCTTGCTTAGCATCTTAGTAGAGTTAACGATAGCCAGCAGTGCAGCAGGTACAGCATTATGGCCAGCCCTTGGGAGGCCTTGGGTTCTATATATATTAGTAGCTGCTTTCAGTCTCATAATAAGTTAACTTTGGATCAGAGCCAGGGCTGTAGCACAAGACAAGATATAAGTGAACTCTTGGTTTTGTTACTAAAGTCCTGAATTATCCACCACCGAGCCATGTCACTGTCCACAGCCGTGGCTCACTACTCTGGACCCAGGGAGGGTCCTAAACTTATTCTTTTCCTCCTGTTCTACACTCCCTGGCTTCCAGCTCTCACCTGATTCAGGCCCCCACCAGAGTGAGGAACATTTAGCAAACTGTCAGCTTTTACGTGAACAATTAAATTCCAAGGATAATATGTATTAGAAGTCTCCAGACCTGGGTCTTGGGCCACCCACCTCTTCAGTGAACCTCTGCCCATGATCACCTTCTATGTGGGCCTGACCTGTATTGGCCCCTTTGCTAGCGTATGGAGGAGCGTTAGGTGGGGTGGGGAAGTTGTAGGGCAGCGGGATCAGAACACTAGGGCCAGTCTGACCGATGTCTGAAGCACACGAAAAGCTTCTGCTTTCTAGTCTTCTTTCAGCCCTTCTCTGCTCTGCTTTCCACCCCGGACTGTGGTATCCCCCTCCACACCAGGGGGCCCCTGAGAAGCACACAAGGCTCCAGGTCCATGGATATTTTCTACATGATCTTGAGTAGTCAGTTCACCCCAGGGTCCTCCCTTCCCCTCCCCTTCCCTCTCTCCCTTCCCCTCCCCTTCCATAAAGTAGAGGAGGGGGCCAGATGCTAAAAATCTCTCAGTTCCCGTCCAGTGCAAAATTGTGCTTAGTTTATGCTTTCTAGGTATTTTGCTTTTTAAAAGAGGGTCAAAGGAAGGGGAACCCCAAAGGCCTCTCTGCTGGTGGGGTTCTGAGCTCTTGGTACTAGCTGAAGGTCACTCTGTCCTGTGAGCTTTCCTAGTGCTCAGTAGACTGCCTGGGCCTAAGTAATGTAGGAGAGAGGGTCCTGGGCAGTGGAAACTGGGCAGGCTGCTCTACCTGCCCCTTCTCTAGAAAGCAGGGCAGCACAAGGATGGGAAGGAAAGTGGATCCTGGCCCCGTCTAACTGGAGGTCTGCAAAGCATCTTAGGGAAACAGAGAGGAAGAGCTTCAGATGCTTGATGCCAAGGAAAACAGAAGACAGTTGAATTAGCTCCTTAGAGCTCAAACCCCACCCCCACTCTGACTCTGTATGCAGTAGTTGATGGCCAGTAGGCATCATTAGCGCTGTGGGAATGCCCAGCTAATGGTCTTTAATGGATAAACAGTCCTTGCTTTCAACGCCCCCTGGTGTCTGTTGACAGGAAACGGGTCAGTTTGCCTTCCTGAAAAGACAAAACAACATTTGTCTCCAGAAATAACTGTGCTGTTATAACTGAAAGGCCAGTAAATGGCTTGATTGTATTTTGAGTGTCAGAATATAGTTCTCCCCTCTGAGCAAGGAAAATAAACTTTCAGGGTAAAAACCTCTTCTATAGCACTTAGTCCAAACCCAACTGGGAAGCACTTTGTTTATCCAGATTATTTCTCATTCTAGGACCAGACCAATGGAAATTCTAGGAAATGAAAATAATAATATGGTAGGTAAAAATTCAGTATAAAAATTAAATTTATTTTATTCTTTCAGGTGAGGAAAGTTTCCAAATGACGGGAAGAATCCTTGGAAAGAATGATGAGATTTTGTCCAAACTTCAGTTCCAACCCATACGAAGGTATGTTGTTGTTGTTGTTTGCCGTTGAGTCAAACCCGACTCATAGCGACCCCTCCTTGGGTTTCCAAGGCAGTATCACTACGGAAGTAGGATTGCCCAACCTTCCTTCCGAGG